CTGCCTGTCTCCCTGACTATGTGTCTGACTGTCTGCCTGACTACGTGTCTGTCTGCCTGACTATCTGCCTGACTATGTGTCTGTCTGCCTGACTATCTGCCTGACTATGTGTCTGACTATGTGTCTGACTGTCTGCCAGTCAGTATGTCTGTGCGTTTGCGGACTGTCTGCCTGGCTGTGGTCTGTTGGTCTAGTGACACTCTTCCCACTCTGCCTGGCTGTGGTCTGTTGGTCTAGTGACACTCTTCCCAGTCTGCCATGCTGTCTGTGGAGTGACTCTTCAATCGCCCTGCCACACCGCACCTGGAGGGCAAGAACAGAGAGTCAGAGCAGGTCAGGGAAAGAGAGGAACTGGGGGAACTAGGCAGAAAGCAAGCGAGTGATGGACAGAGGGGGAGGCAGACGAAAGCAGGAGAGATACAGAGGAGGCAGCCGGAGCGAAGGTGCTGCATTATTCATATTCAGCGGCGCTGGGGTGTCAGGTGCGCTCCGTGGACCGTGACACTCCCCTCTGACACGGGCGCGCACACGCACTCTGCTAGATCTGCCGACAGACTTCCGTTCTGCTTCGCTTCAACCTTTCAGGGTCTGACGTTCCTCCAGCCGCAAAAGGAAGGAAAAGTAATTCGCATATCCGTGTCACTCCAAGAGTAACTGAGAATCGGGTGGAAGGGCGGATAGACAAGGCGCCTTGGTTACACCCCGTCCCAGTTCCAGCGCGTCACCCCCGTTCTGCACATTTATTTTCCAGTGTGATGCGGGCCATAGGCCCACGATAAGCCCCCCCTTCTCTTTTCTCTCTCACACGGGAGTCTTGTGATAAAAGAGCCGCCCCCACCTCAAGCGCTCCAGCCTCCCAATTCCCGAAAAGCTCAAGCCAGACTCCAGAGAGGGGAGAGAGGAGGGTAACGGCGGTGGACCCGCCACGAATCGAGCCGCCGGTTATCGAGATATTCCAGACCCTGCTCACCCCCTGCGTGTCCTGCGATCCTCCGTAGACCACCGTTAAACGCTCCTCTTCTTTCAATGGATATCCAAGAGCTGTCGCTTCCTTCTCCGTTATGCGTAACGATTGGGACCTCGTCTGCTGACAGCCCACGGAGCCAATCAGAAGAAGGGGTGAGCGAAAGAGGCCCGCCTCTCCTTAGCAGCTATTGGCCGTGGGGCGTTTGCCTTTCTTTGATTGTGTACGCCATTGGTCAGTCGCCCGTAAACGTCAAGGGTTTTCTATGGTGGTGATTGGTTCGGCTTTCCGAGCCCCGCCCATGTCCGGGTCGCTGTCCTGTTTATATGGTGAAGGCGCTTGCTGTAAAGAGTCAGATGATTTTGTGCTGGTCGCTGTGGTGGTGCTTAGCACCTTACTATCTTTCCCTGGAAGGAATTATATGACCACCATACACTGGTGCGGTTTTATCAGTGGGCAACAGAATAATTAAACCCGGACTCGACTCTGCGTAAGCTGGAAACGAGGTTGTCAATGTGGCAGGAAAGGAGCCGATTTCACGATCTCGCAAGCCTGACGCTAACTGCTGTGGGATGCGGAGACCTCTTAAGCAAAACCGGGCTGGTTCTGTAAGTGGTGTAGGGTGGGCCAATAGGTGGCGCTCTTCCCGATGGAGCAGAAATTCCGCTGGAACTGTAAACGTTGTGATAATTGTCTCTGCCTTTTGCAACACTGTGATTAATTGGTCCTAACCATAAAGCTCTTTGAAACTGGAATTTGTTTGGCGATTCAGGACGCTGTAATGAAGAAGGGACCGTCCTTGGGATCCAGTATTAGACTTGGGTCCTGACTCGGTGTGCCAGTGAAAATGACAGTCCGGGGTGGTGTTGTCTGGCCTCCCTAAATATCCCACTTGATTTAATTGGCGTAGCATATATGAAGGATACACGGCATTCTTTGTCCGAAACTTTAATTTGGTTGGGATCGTAAAAAAAAACTCTGTTGTTTGATGATTTAAGCAGTCTTAAAGAGACTTCTCGAAAAAACACATTTAGAGGGTTACAACGGGATCTTTTTTCTCTCATAACTCTTTCTGGAATCGAAACCTTTTTGGAAAGAGTCCCGTTGGACGTTTGTGCGCATATTATATTTAAGTCCGACCACACATTTGATTTCTATGGATGCATGCCTCGTTGGGATTTAAACGAATTAAAAAGACGACGGTGTTGTATCTCGGCACGAGTGTTTATAGAGTTCGCGAGGCTGCGAACGCTGAACATTTGTCGATCCTAATTGACAAAAACCCAACGTCGCTGATTTATTTTCGGTTGTGCGTTTGCAAAATACTTTGCTCTTCTATGTTAACACCGATTGTATCCCTCTGCTTGCACAGCAAATAAAAAATGACGGCAGAAATCTTGACGCCATTCACCTCTTTTTGCCTTAACCAGTGAGAGCACTTCTGGGAAGAGCGTTGTAGCAGTTCATCTAAAGCCCACAAGGTGGGAGGAGAGAGCTGGATCGACGGTGGACAGCGAATTGGCGATGCAGTCTCGGCGCCCGACGGAGGTCGATGGCATTAACAGCCAAGTTGCAGACTTCGACTGCTGCAGTACCTTTGGCGTTGTCGTTTTCAATTAACAAAAAAACTCGTTTCAAGAAGGTGATGCTCTCACGTGCTTCAAAAGAACACTCTCTAAGTTAATAGAGCCGGAACACAAACAGTTCGCATCCCCCAAAAACAGCCGTCTTGCCCCTGGGAGTCAGGGTCTTTGTGTAAAAGTACGAGTTGGAAGTATGAAAGCATGTGTCAGTGTGTGTCTGAGCGCCAGTGTGTTTCAGTGGGAATTGTGCAGCTCCTCTCTCTGACAGACGGGCAGAGCGAAGACGGCTTACGGGTGGAACAATGGGGTCCTTTCACTGAGCCGACACCCCCCCCCCCTCAAGTTTTGTGGCCTCCTGTCACCGTGGCAACCCCCCCAGGGAGGGGGCAAGTACTGACGGGCAGCTGGAGGAGAGAGGAGCAGAGGAAGGAAAAAAGAGAGGCAGAGAGCGGGAGACTGAGGTCCCGGGACTGATGACCAGCAGGTGTCCGGGGCAGCTGGGAAACAGGTCTCGCAGGAAAATGAAGGGGCAGGCGCCACACCAGACAGAGCCTCGCACCCCACCTCCCCCCTCCCTTCATGTCTGAAAGAAGGGAGATCCTTTCACGCTTTTCGGGACAGTCCACATGAGGCCCGCTCTCGCAGCTGGGCCGCGTCGCTCAAGGATTTAAGATCAGCGAGATGGACAGACGGCTGTCCCTCTCTCCCTGCCCGGCTCTCCTCGTTTCACGCTTACACTCAAACCTGCACGGTGTACACGGGCTTAAAAAGCACAGGAAGAACGGATTGCCCCAGACACCAACGTGAGGAAGTACTGGAATGATAATCAGCCTGATCACCAGCGATCAATACCGCAGGCGGCAGCCGGGGCCGGAGCCTGTTCAGTCCAGACCGTGAGGAGGCGTGTCTCCTGTACCTGAAGTCCTCCAAGATGTTAACGAGGTGAACGCAGCTGGTTGAACGCACTTCAAGGTCACGAGTGCAATGACGATTGGGGTGTTTAGGTTCGACAGCAGGGGGCGCTCCTTCACGCAAGGGCATCTGGTGAGGCGCTCTGGGCAGAGTTCCAGGATGGGGCAGACGAGATGGCGCCAGCGGCCGTATTTGCCACCCTCCTGGCGGGCCCTCCTGTGTGGGCCTACGCCGCACCGTTCGGCCTGGCCAGCGGGCCCGGGATGTGGGCTCGGGCTCGGCTAGCAGGGGCGGGATCGACCCGGTTCTGGTGCTGCGCAGGTGTTCAGAGCACGTGAACTCCGCTAACTCGCTCTCTCTTCCTTTTCCACTCGGTCCGCTTGCCGTAATGGGCTGGGGACCATCTGTCCCTGTTAACACAAAGCCCTAGCCGGGGTGTGGGTGTGTGTGTGTGTGTCAGTCCGAGCTGGATCAGTGGGCAGGGCCAGTAGCTCGGAGCTGTGTGTCTTGCTGTCCTGCGCTGGTAGTCCCTCTCTCCCTCTCCCTCTCCCGCTCAGGGTGTGGGGCGGCGCTACTGTGAGTCAGACAATAACAACATCGCAGAACAAAACAGAGAAAGGGAGAGATCGCACCATTGAAGGCCCACTCGGGGGCGAGGAGGGAGGGAGGGAGATTAAAAACTCACTCCTGCGGGCTGGAGCCCCCTTCTCTCCTCCTTCTTTCGATTTTCTTTCTGGAAAACGTACAGAATGCAGCCCGTGTGTGCAGTTCTCTCTCCCGGGGCTGGAGCTGATATCTGAGACAGTGTTCACACCCTCCCTCTCCTGTCCCTTCCCTGGTGCAGAGAGAGAGAAACAGAGCGACTGACTGTCCAAGAGGCCAAGAAACACGAAACAGCTGGCACCTCTGAGGCCCGGAGACAAAGGAGCTCGGTACAGTTTGTGTCAATTACTAATGAGAAAAAACAACCTTTATTCTGGAAGGAATCCTTAAGATCTGAATAATAATAATCCTTACACTTATATAGCGCTTGTCTGGACACTCCACTCAAAGTGCTTTACAGGTAATAGGGACTCCTCTCCACCACCATCACCAGTGTGCAGCACCACCTGAATGATGCTCCAGTCTGCTCACCACACACCAGCTCTCAGTGGGGAGGAGAACAGAGTGATGAAGC